CCATTAAGAATTGGTCTTGGAATTTCTTATGTAGTTTTTTCGAGGTTTTTGAGACTTCATTATGAATTTACTTACCAGAGTATTGAAACTTCAAATAATATGTTTATTGAGCCAGTTCTCTTAAACCTAATTAATGGTAGATATATAGATAAAGATTGTCTTACTAATATAGAAGATGAACTCCTTCAGACTTAAAGAAAAAAAAATGTGATTAATATAATAACCCTTATAAAATTGGGGATTTTTTTTTACAACATTAGGAAAATCAATAAGTTCATAAGGTTTAAGAGAGAAAATTTAAACGATAATAATTATTAGCGCTTAAATTAAGAATACCAATTGAAGTCAAGATTTGTCTAAATAAAATCTGTTGCACGACGTAAAACTTTAATTCATACTTCAAATGATTAAAAAAAACTTTATTAGGTTGGTTGTTTACACAAAATCAAAATTATTATTCCCTTTCAATGGAAACTAATGCTCACTTATATGACTAAATAAAGTAGACAACATGGGGTTATATCATTTAATTGTTCTTGACTTTTGAAGTTACTTTCTCCATCTATATATGTTGATCACCAAGGAATTTTATCTCATAAATTTAGTTCTATATATAGCACATATTTTTGTCTTATTTTTTTTTATCAATTGTTTTGTGTATGTATTAAGAACTTGAATTATTTGAATTTGTGCCGCATAAATTCCATATAAGGAGAAAATGTTCCCTAACAATATAGTTGAAATAACTTGTCAATATTAAGTCAATTGAGAATTTAAGAAAAATATTTTGGCTCGCATAAGCAGTTAGGTCAATTTTAAAACATTTTCACATGATGTTTGATATCAGTATTGGGACTCATAAATTCATTTTAGGAAGCCCTACATTGGGGGGAGGGGGTAAAACATTGTCTAACAAAGACAACTTTATATCGAAAGAAACTTAAACCTAAAACTACTGATTCAGGATGAAGGAGTAGTTACCATTCCACTAAAACTTGGTTGTCAAGTCAAATTGAGTTGAAGAAAATTTGAGGGAAGTTGAAATATGCAAAAATAACATTGACTACTTCTTTTACTATATAACAACACTTACTTCACTATTTAAAGTTTGACCATACATCTTCATTCTCTAAAATATTTTTAAAAAATAAAAATAAAATAAAATTTGAGCTTTCAAAAGTTTGATCAAACATATTATAATAAATATACCACAAATTTGCCTCAATCCATACACCATACCATGTATATCTAGTCTGGAATGTTATCCCAAAAGTAAAAAATGATAGTATTTATATCCCATGCCAATGCATCAAGATCATCGGGAATTGAACCTGGAATCTCATATTCTGAGAGTGGTATAGAGTACCACTTATCTCCCATTTGATCATTACCCTTTTCATCTTCTTTTTTGTCCTCCCTCTCGTAGCCAGTCCAAGTCCAATCCATTGATGAATTAAACTTCAAATCCTTCTTCACAATCTTTCTTATGATTGTTTTTGTTCTTGGTTTTCTAGGGATTGACATAAAAGCTAACTCTAAAAGCTCAATAATAGCTTCATTCTTTTTTGTTAGCTTCTTATCTAATTTTCTTTGAGGTTTCAAAGACTTCATCATGAATATACTGAGCAAATATTAATTTTTTTATTAATATGAGTGGTCTTGCTCTTTTATATGTACTATAATCCTAATATTAGATGGAGAAAGATTATCTCATTAAAATCCTTTTGACTAAGGAAAAAGTAAATGCAATAAAAAAAATTACCTTTTTTGAATATAACAATCCTTGTAAAACCGGGAAAGAAAATATTATAATATTAGGAAAATATATAAATCTATAATACTTAAAAGAGAAAATTTAAACAATAATAATTGTTAGTTATTAACATTAAGAATTGTCTAAATGAAATGTGTACATGACGTAAAACTTAAATTTATACTTTAAATGATTAAAAAGAGAAGTTAATTGGTTTGCTTGCTTTACACAAAATTAAAATAATTCCTTTTAACGGAAAATAAAGTCCATTTATATTGACTAGGGTGGACGTTTGAAATTTGATTCGATATTTTTAAGGTTCAATTTTGATAATTCCGTAATTAATAGTTCAAAGTAGAAAAATATCAAATTTTTAAAGTTTTGCTCCTTAAATAGAACTTTAATACTGTAAATCAAACTTTGGTTCATTTATTTGATATTGCGAATTTAAAAAATATATATTTTGATAAAATATGTTCATAATTTGTACAATATTTGACATGTTACCTTTTAAAGAAATCACGTATAAAGGTTAGATCTACACTTTCAAACTCTAACTTGATGAAATGTCGACATAGGTCAACCGAGACATCCAAATCACTCATTAATGTTACCCATATATATGAATTATGATAGACAATTATGTGAATTCGATATTTAGTTAGATATTTTCAAAATTTGATAATTGATAATTAAAAATAGATATCAAATATCAAACTTTTAAAATTAAATTTGATATAACAATCAAACTTCGAGATAATAAATTGTAATTCGAAAATTTATGCCCACCCTAATAAAGTAATGATCCTCTGGAGAAATACAATAAACTAATGTTATTTTATTTTTGAAGTTATTTTATATAAGTTAAATAAAAACCTATTATTATTAAGCAGAAAATTATGGTAGACAACATGCTATATAGGTTTTTATAATATTTTATATTATTAACAATAGTCCATCTCTATAATAATATTTTATTATGATTAACGGTTAAGAATTTTTCGGAATAAATATTTTATATTATTTTATCCGTTCTTTATAATAATATTTCCACTATAGCAATTAAAACTTATTTGAAAAAATAATAGTATTATAATTTTTTTAACTGTGTGTATATATATATTAAGTCATCATAATTCCAAATTAATATGATATTTAGTTTTACCTATAGCACTATAAATAATTGAGCATTTTTATTGTAATTTAATTGATTAACATGTTACTTATAAGATTTTGGTAGTATAGATACATGTATTTCGGGATAAATGAAATCAAAATTAGGTGTAATTTGTTTTAGATACATTGAATTCAAATGGATTCACATATATTTGGGATAAATAACAAATCTCGCTTGCCTCCTTCCCTCCCATCTCGATCGCTCGCCACTCTCCTATGTATCTGGTATCCCAGATACATGCAAAACACACTAGATACAAACAGTTACATGTATCTAGTGTGATTCACATGTATCTGAGATACATGACTATCTCGCTCACCTCCTTCCTCATTTCGCTCGCCTCTCTCCATATTTTAATGTATTTAATAACTATCAATTATTTACAACCCATTAATAATAGAAGCTAATTAATGATAATTTAGGTAAAAAAAAAAACAAATAACTCATAGCTTAAATATGAAACTCCCAAGAGAAAAAGAGAACCTTACTTTTGATAAAAATTAAAAGTTGGAGAATTTCATTCATTTCATCACATTATGTATAAATTTTGAACGAATCTTAGTAGTTCAATTAGTTGATTACCTAACCTTATTGTTCAAGATTTGATTTCCCTTCCTATAATTCCCTTTCTCCCATTTTCCCCAATTTATTTTCATAAAAAATCATATAAATTTCATACTCCTATTTCTTTTTTAATGTATTTGTTCCGTTTAAAAGAGAATATTTCTTCTCTTATTCGATCTCTTTGATTCTATTTTTTTACACGATAATATGACATACTTAATACCATAAAATTATAAAGACATTTTAATATATCTAATATATTATAATTACTTTAATTATAATATTTTAAATTTTCTTTACTTCATTAAATTTTATTTCAAGTCAAAACATGATAAATAAATTAAAATTAATATTAAATTAAAATATAATAAATAAATTAAAACGAAGAGGCTAGAAATTATTCATTCAAGGGAGTATTCGGTCAAAAACTACAAACAAAGTGCGACTATTTCAGTAAAAAAATGTGTAAAGAAACAAAAAAGCGGTCCCAAACTGTCAAACCCAACGACCCCTTTATGACTCTTTTTATTATGACGTTTGATCGAGAATAAGTTATATTAATCATTTTTAATAAATTATTTTATTATGTGTATATGGAATAACTTATTTGATAACTCAAATATAAATGATAGGGATATATAATTATCTAATATGTTACAATTAAATATAACGTAAAATAATTTTGCATTTTATTCGAGATAATTATAGTTTATGCCTCCTCTCACACAGGTGAGAGCCTTCAGCATATCATGGCTGACTGAGCTTTTTGGCGGCTCCAGTTTCTCTCACTTTATTCATTTCTTGATTTCATATGAATTTCAATTTCAGCAGTTACCTGTAAACGCGTTGAAGAGTCAAAAAAGTAGCTAAGCAACTTCCTTTTTTTGTCAAAGATCAAATTTTTATCTTTTTTTGTTTTGTTTTGTTTTGAAAAAAGTGGGGTTTTAGGCTTCAGGAGGAAGTTGTTGAAAGAATTGTGAAGATTAAGACTTTGAATTTTGAAAAAAGGGTATTCTGGAATCTTGATTTTTCACTTGTGTGAAAAAGTTGGAGTCTTTTTGGGGTTTTAGCTAGTTACTCTATCCAGTTTATATGATCCAAATTTTGGGTATTTCATATAATTGTTATTTTAAAGCTCTAATACTAGAGAGCTTTGAATTGGGATTTTGAAGGGTTGTTGTTGTGAAGATCAAGTCTTTTGAAGATTTTGGGGTTTGTCATTATTGAGGTCTGAAAAGGGTATTCTAGAATCTGGATTGAACTGAATTGTGTGGAAAAGTTGGGGTCTTTTGGGGGTTCTAGCTAAGTTTCTCCATGCCGGAATCTTGAATTCACTTGCAGTTGAATTGTGTGAAAAAGTTGAGTGTTTTGGAGTTTTAGCTAGTTCCTCTATGCAGTTTATATGATTCCAGTTTTGGGTATTTTATATGTTTCTTTTTAAAGCTCTTATACTTGAGAGTTTTGGATTGGGGTTCTTAATGGTTGTTGTTCCACTGCATTATGTTTGATGATTTGGTGAATGAAAAGATTGTTTAAGCATTTGTTGGATGGTTTTCTTGGAAAAATGGTTTTTTGCTAAGCCTGGTATTGTGGGGCAGTAGCTTGAGGAAGGTCTTTGATTGGTTTGTTGAATATGGGTTGTGTTTGTGGTAAACTTTCTCGAAAGGTCAAAGATCGTCGGGATGGCCAAAAGAAGAGAGAGTTAGATAAAGGGGCATCAGCTGTGAGTTCAAAGAGAGAAAAGAGTTTTAGGGTGAAAGAGAAATCGGAGAATGGTGATATAAGTGTTGGTTCATTCGACAGGAAGCCTAATGGATCTAAAAAGGTTGGGGACAATAACTGCGAGAAGCTTGAAGTTGTCCCAAAAGCAATGGAAGGAGAGTTGATTGCTGCAGGATGGCCTTCTTCGCTTGCTGCAGTAGCCGGTGAAGCTATTAATGGTTGGATTCCACGCAAGGCTGATACTTTTGAGAAATTAGACAAGGTATAATTTTGGTGGACTTATTCTATGAAATTCATTTTATCGATAACATTGGATATAAAACTAACCACATTTACTGTATATTCTAATAGTATGTGAGCTCATGTAAGAAGTATATGTTACTTCCAGACAAAATGACTTGGTGGTAGAGTTGTGGAAATGCTTGTTTCTTCCATATTTTGGACCTTAGCACCATGGAAGAATATGTTACTTCCAGACTTTGTTGTTACTTCTGGTAGGCTGTGCACTGAGTTGAATATCAATAGTCTGATCGCATGCAGATTTCAAAGAATAGGGAGATAGCCAGTTCCAATGAGTGAAAATAATGAAAAGCCTGTGCACTTTTTGGAGTTTTAAGTTATGGAAACTTAACTTTCCACTTTCTGGCTGAGTTCTAATCCCTTCACTGTTTGTATTTTTCTCTTTTTTCCTGAAACAAATTTAAGTCTGTTTCTTTTGTATTGGGTTGCTCTTACCTAATCATATTGACTCTAGATATCCTCTGTCCTTCTTCTGCTTCTTCATTTTTCCTAACTTCGAACCATGTGCTTTTGTCCCCTTGTTCCATATACCCATTTAGGGAGAATTATCGGGTGCCTGTTATAAATTCACCTAGTGAAGGCTTGGTGCAGATTGAAATATACTAGTTCTGTAGTTCATATGATCATGATGAGATTTTTATTCAGCTGATTCGAAAGTCATTCCATGTAGTGCATTTGCAATGCTTGTGGCATTTAATCTTTTATCCTTTATGGCCTAATTTTGTTCCCAATGTGCGCTAGTGTTGTCAATTAATAGTTTTTTGGTTGTGTAATAGCGTTTTATTCTTGCAGATTGGTCAAGGGACTTATAGTAGTGTATACAAGGCTCGTGACCTGGTTAATGATAAAGTTGTTGCGCTTAAAAGAGTGAGGTTCGAAAAAATGGATCCTGAAAGTATCAGATTTATGGCAAGGGAGATTGTTATTCTGCGAAGGCTTGATCATCCAAATATCATCAAATTGGAAGGCTTGATCGTATCAAGAACATCTTGTAGTCTGTACCTTGTATTTGAGTACATGGAGCATGATCTCACTGGACTGGCAGCTCTTCCTGGTATTAAATTTACAGAGCCACAGGTGCTTTTCCACAGATTGTTTGTTGGACGTTAGTTTTATTTTTATTATGATAACTGCTTCTCTCACGCTTCATAATTCAATTTTAATAACAAGTTTCTAATCTTTTTTTTTTTTTTACAGGTTAAATGTTACATGCGGCAGCTTTTAAGTGGACTTGACCATTGCCACAATCGGGGTGTTCTGCATCGGGACATCAAGGGTTCTAATCTTCTCATTGACAATCATGGCACTTTAAAGATTGCAGATTTTGGGTTGGCAAACTTTTTCGATAACCAGCAAATTGTTCCATTAACAAGCCGTGTTGTGACTCTTTGGTATCGACCACCAGAGCTCTTACTCGGAGCAAGTCATTATGGAACTGCAGTAGACTTGTGGAGTACTGGCTGCATTCTCGGAGAATTATATGTTGCCAAGCCCATAATGCCCGGTAGGACAGAGGTATATTGTTGTAACACTTCTTTTGACTTGAGCATGATTAATACTTCACTGCTGCACTTCTATTTTATGCCTCTATTTCGGGATGTCAACTGCAATTTATAAAATAAATCGTCAGTGGAAATATATTAAAGGAGAGCATGGTGGAGTCAAGTACGACAAAGGACTCTTCGATCAATTAATCAATCCGTTAACTCCGCCTCAATTTATGTGACACTACTGTGCGTTTCTGTTTTATGTCTCAATATTGGAATGATACTCCAATTCATACAATAGACAAGCTAAAAACGAGGAGGTGGAAGAGGCAAGTATGATGGGAGGACTCTTTACAGCCAATCAACCTATCGATCAACTATGCTTCAATCCTAAATGTCACTATGCAGATTAATATATCCTGTTTTTCTCCTTACTTATGATATTATTTGTTATCGATGATTTAACACACATGAGCTAAATTTTCGTCCTTGTAGGTGGAACAACTACATAAGATCTTTAAGCTTTGTGGTTCACCAACTGTGGATTATTGGAAGAAAACAAAACTATCCTATTCAGCAGTATTTAAACCTATACAGCCTTACAAGCGGTGTATTGGCGAAAGATTTAAGGAGCTTCCTCCATCTGCCGTGGGGTTACTGGAGACATTACTTTCTATAGATCCTGCACTTAGAGGAACAGCAGTTGGGGCTCTTGAGAGTGAGGTACTTTTCTAACTCCTCCAATCCCATCCCTACTTTTTTTTTTTTTAAGATAATAGTGGTGTCCAGGCCAGCTTGTGCGTGCCTCAGGCCTCAGCTAATTCCATGGGGTGCCTGTTGCCTCCCACCAACACAAGTACTAGGTGACTTGGATAAATGGAAAGAAATTACCTAGTGTTTTTGCCTTCGGTAGGATTTAAACCTGAGACCTTATGGTTCCTAACCCACTTCATTGACCACTAGGCCACACCCTTGGGGTCACCCCGTCCCTACTTTCTTCCATCCAAAAGTTGGTGCTTCGAAGCCTCGTCATACAAGATCAGCAACTTCTTACTTTCCATGCTTAAAATATTTGTACTTTTTGTAACTTATTTACTTAGTTACATGTTTCATGTTGTTAATGATGCCTAGTAGCTGTTGTCTTTCTGAAATTTCCTTCCAACAATTCAAACTTGGATAAACCAGTGCTACTATTTTTAACTTGTTATGACGTCTTTTCAACTAACTAGTCCAATTTTATCTCTTTTCAAACTATTATGTTAAACACTTATCTAATTTAATATGGTATGATAAATAACAATATATTCAAACTTAAGTCTTAATATCCACTCTAGTCAAATAAAGGGAGCTGTAAGTGGCCATTGATTTTCCAGAGAAAAATGTTAGTTGGAACTAACAAGACTTCAAAAGAAGTGTATTGAGACCTAAAAGAACCTTTTTTTTTGTTGATAAACTGAAGTTTTATTGATGCTGTGGGGAGAAATTCCGTACACAAGAACTATTCCAAAAGTAGATAACATAACATATGTACGAATCTAAAAAAAAACACCCTGTAAAAAGTCTTGTTCCACATTTTCAGAATGTTTTGCCAAATTAACCACATTGTGCCAGGGTGAGAACAGGGAAGGGGGAGTCTTTATTCCAGAAGCAATATGATTCACACATTAGGAAGATGAGATTGACTAATGTTGTTGCTGTTGTTTCTTTCTTTTTTTGACAAATGAGACTGACTAACCTTTTTTTTGAGTTAAAAAATGCTATTGAAATTTGCATCTTGTGTACCCTTGATTTCCTTTTCACACGTTCTTTTAAGATATGATGCATAACTGTCCATTCAGAAGGACAAGGAACTGAAGTATTTACTGATTCATATTGGCTTAGTCTGAGTGAGTAATAAGACATTTTTTAAATAAATTTTATCAGCTTTCATGACTTGAACACTGAAGTTTTCTGACAAGTCGTGTAGTTCCAAATAGCCAGACTTTTAATGTTCTTTTAATGTGTTTGAATCATTTATCGCGTTATAAAATTAGCAACAATTGTTTTTCTCACTAACACTAAGGTATGCCGTGACTCACAGTTCTTCACCACGAAGCCATTTGCTTGTGATCCTTCAAGTTTGCCAACATACCCTCCCAGCAAGGAAATTGATGCAAAAATGCGGGAAGAGGAAGCTAGAAGGTAGATGCCTTAACCATTCCATCTTTTGTATGGCAACGTAAAACTGAATGTTTCTCATTCTCTTAGTAATAATTCTTCAATTTTGTACTGAAACTTATACCTTGTGTTGGAATATGGTTAAGTGGATCATACATTAGGAAACAGAAGTGACAATTGCATATATTACATAGTGGCGTTTCCTTTCTGATTAGCATTGAATGACTCTATTTTGCTTTACAGTTCCATCATATCTTGATTATCAAACATTTGTTGACATAACGTTATATATTTCTGACTCGAAATATCCATGGATATATCGTAATAGTTTGTCTGAAATAATTGCTGCAGAGGAGGGACTACAAATGGATCAAAAGAACGTCAAGCAGTTCCAGCACGTGATGCTAATGCCAAGCTGGCTAGCTCAATGCAGGTACTTTTATGGGTGTTAATCTTTTAGTCTTCAAATTAATTTAAGTTTTCCTTTTTGTAATGCCAGAAGCCAATAAACTTCATGATTTTTCAATTTTCGCTTGGACGTCGTAATGCATTAAAAATAGAACTGTCAATTGATAAATTAGTTGTATTTTAGCAAAAGGTTGGAATTTGTCTAACTTGTCGTAGTTTGCAAAGAGCATATGATAACTCCGCCCTTGATCTTAACAAAACATTTCTAGGCGCTATATATTTGATAACTTTTGTGTCTTACTAGACTTTGGTTTCAAAATAACTCAATCTACACCCCTACAATGTATCTGCAAGTATGTTTTCTCCTATGTTGCTCAGACTCTCGAATAATGTTGCCGCACCCATGAATAATGTTGCCACACCTGTGTCAGATCCTTAAAAAATGTACTGCTTTTGAAGGATCTGACATGCACCAGCCAGCATTTTTGAAGAGTCCGGGCAACATATTTTTTTTTTTTTCGGTATGTTTTTCAATTTATTTGGTCTTATGATTTGCTCATTATAACAGAGGAGGCCGAGCAGTTCCAATCCTAAGAGCCAAAGTGACCGGTTCAATCCCTCGAAGGAAGCTGCTGCTCGTTTTCCAAATGATCCTCCTAAACCATCACAAGCAGTGAAAGAAACTGCGAAAGATCACATGGAGAATCTTTCAGATAGATTTTCAGCCAAAGATAACCTCGACGATCTTTCAGAGACATTTTCCCATTCAGTCCCTCTGGCTCTAGGGGTATTTGGGAAGAAATATGATGATATCTCCATTGGTCCCAACAGAGCTGACTTGTCAGACTTAGTAGCATCCAGGTCCGTTGTGTCCGGAGACAATCGAGATAGATGTGTTCAGCTACAATCAGCCCATCAAGTAGAAAGGACAGCACGGCTTCTAGACGAACAATCAAGGAAGCAGGATCAGAAGTATTTCACGCAGAACTTTGCTAGTTCTCATCAATTTGAAAGTGGAAGGACTTGTACGAAGGAGGCAAATCTGGTAAGTTCTCATAAACACATAAATCTAAGAGTTTGAATGCATAGAGAGAACCGAGGTAACTGTGTAGTTACTACTGAAACGTCGACCTCTCAAGTATAAACGAACTTTGTTTGCTCAATCAATCAATTAACCACATCTCAATTTCAAAAAAGTCCGGAGTCAGCTCTATTGATTCGTTGTATCAATTCCATTTCATTGCAATACTAAGTAGTTTTATCGAACTTCATTAGCTATTCAATAAGAATCTTCGTTTTTGTTCTTTGCCTCAAACCATTACTACTTTCAACCCCCCGTTTAATCAAACATCTCAACACAATCAAAATTGCTAGGTGATTTCTTCCTATCTGTCCTAATCTTGGTAGACAGAGTTACCTGGTACCTGTTGCTGATGGGAGGTGACAAGTATCTTGTTGAATTAGCTGAGATGCGCAAAAAACTGATCCAGACACCACAGTTATCAAAAACAAAACGCCAATAATAACATCCTTGTTTCCCGTTTTAATTTTGCTACATTTCCGTGGTTGTTAGTGAGAACATGTAACTCATACTAATCGATTTCTTATCACTCTCCTGTTTCTTTGTGTAGTATGACCCTTCTGACAAGGGAAACAAAATCCATTATTCTGGTTCACTATTAGTTGCATCAAATAAAGTGGATCAAATGCTTAAAGATCGCGATCGTCACATTCAGGAAGCTGCTCGACGAGCAAGGCTCGAGAAGGCACGAGCAGGTCAGGCTCATGCTCAGGTGCGAGGAATGTGAAAAACATGTAACTCTATAGTTATATATATGTATGTCTAGTTTAGGAACAAGGTAGATAAGCATATATAGAGAAAGGAGAGATTTTTCTTGTAAATCATAAGTAGCTCTATGTATATTATCTTTTGAGGAATATTATATATTTATATTTCTTATAGAATAAAAGAGAAAACCAAGATTAATATGAAAACTATCAATTAGCAGCCACAAATGCAAAATATATCATTCTTTTTTGGTGTATACATTGAGTTCAGAATAGCCACATAATTTGATTTGGTACATACACTGTTGAAACACAAGCTTTTTCCATGTGTTAAGTTAGAATTTGAAGTTTATAGATTTTGTTTCTCATGTTTGTAATGTTGGGTTCCTTTGAATTTAATGTTTACACCAACTCAATGAATACGATCATTGGACACATATCTTTACATTATTAAATACATATTTATCATAGCACATTTTCTTAAGGATGAAGAAAGAAAATATTTTATTATGGGAGAACATTACAATAAATGTTGTTTTTTGAGTTTTTGGATATTGAATTGCGATGTACAAGGGACTACAAAAGGACGCATTGTTTAAGCACTCTGTTAACTAATAATTAATTTTCAATAGCCACCTAAAAATTAGTCTAAACAAATGAGTGGTTCCTTTAGCTTATACCAACGGCAAAAGGGCACTTCTATGATCCTCTAGCTTTTACCCTTAGCATTATTAATTGGATAGGTTAATAACTTATCAATTTATTAATTCAACTCATTTGATCTGTCTAATATAATTCAACTTATTTGAAAGTTGGCTTGTTATATAACTCATTGACGCATGAGAGTTCTAATTAAAATATTTTAAAGATATTTTTTGTTTTATCTATAATATATCGTCATAGTAAAAAAATGATTATTATAAGGTACTTAAGTGAATTATAAAAAACAAATAAATAAACTAATACTCAATAAGAATTGAATGAGTTGAGTAATGATCCGTTTGCTAATCAAATTCATTTCAATCTAAGTAACATTATTAAATCAGACGATTTTAACTTACAAATACAAGAACGGATGATGTATTGTATTATACACTTCCTTCGATCACTTTTAGTTGTTGTATTTGAACTTGACACATTCATTAAAAAAATAATATAATTATTTTACCACATTAGCTCTATTAATTGATGTTTAGTATTAGTTCTTGAAAAATGATTTGAGAAGAAATAATTAATGCTAAGGGTAAAACATAAAAAATAATTTTTTTTATATATGGTAAACATATGTAAAAGTGAAAATTTATTTTTAAGACAGTGAACAGATAAAAATGAACAAAGAAGTATTTAAAATTATGGATTCATGTTTACTACTTATCACAATTTTATAAATTTTCTTACATAAAATTTTATACTCCACGTTAAAATTATGAATTCAATTGATTCCGTACCTATCGGGTCAGGCCTAACATCAATCTTCTAGATATTTTGAAGGTAATTAATTAGTTCGTAGGCCTACTCTTAATGATTTTTGAACTTGACCAGGTCGTTGATAGGTTCATTTTCTGCATCTACATCTTATCATAATTAATTATACATTAGTATTATTTTCATGCATCATGTTTATCGGAGAAAACACAAAACATGATTCAAGTGAATAAGATCTACTCCTAAGAAACATATCGTGTTAGGTTCCTAGGAATTTATGGTCAATACACCAATTATTCCACGATATGTTTTTATGGCAGATCTAGAAGGGGCGAGGGTATTCATCTGAATCTTTCAATAAAAATTACATTATATATATAAGATATTTTAAAAATTATAATGTGTATATAATTTTTGAATCCTCTTATCACAAAATTAGTGATTGACTCAGTGATTTGGACAATTGAAAATTCATCACCTTGAGATTTCAAGTTCAAATATCTGACACTGCTTTTTTAATTTTTAAAACATCTTAGAGAAGATTTTGAATCTGTCATTTATTCTTTTTCCAAAAGGCAATGTCATCTTTGATATGGTTCTTTCCATCAAATCTATTTAGGGGAACGGATATTTGATCAAATCTTAATTTTAAACTTTATGAGTTCAATTTTATATAGTTGGATCAATGTTATTTATAGGCAGAAGTGAATTCAAAATTTAAATCTTATGAATTCATTAATCTTTTAAGATTCTTAGTATAGGACTCATGATTATATATAAAAAATTATGAACGCATCATGTCTACTATTTATTTCAATTATAGTAAATTTTTATACATATATTTATTTTTCACTCAAAAATTATGAACTCAATTAAACCTGATCCGTCCTTATGTTAGATTTGTCATCTGTCTTTCAGATATTTTGAAGTTGCTATCAAGAAGGTTAATTAGTATCTAGGCCTACTCTTAATGATTTTTGAAGTTGACCAGGTCGTTTGAGTCATTTTTTTTGTGTCACCATCTTATCATAATCATAATAAATACATTATTATTTTCATAATAAAGTTTTGACAAGGTCCATGGGGCTTGAAGCAAAAAGAGAGAAGTGAAGTGCGTTATTCATTGAAAAAAATGAGTATATCGTACACATATTAATGTAGTTTTATAGTTAATCAAATAAGATGTGAAGCGCGCTATGGATTAAAAGAAACTAGAGTATTCATACATACACAAGTATTTAATTAAAACATATTTATTTTGATAGTGAATTTAGTTCTTAATCAATCAAATGATAAATAAAGCGTGTTGTTCATTGAAAAAAAAGGTGAAGTATTGTACATATATGAATTTAGTTCTATAATTAATCATTTATTCACTCAAAAAAACAAGTGGAGTATCGATACATAATAAATACATTTAGTTCTATAATTAATCCAATTTTAACTTAAATAACTAATTTCAATATTCATTTACAATAATGTTATTATTAACCTAATTATTCAAAGTTGAGATTCAAATATAAAACCTTTTCTTTGCTTGCCGCAAAATTGTGAAGTTTTTTTTTCAACAAAGGCTACGTCTACGAAATCACTAGTTTAATTTATATACTCACTATATTTTAATTTATTTGTTTTATTTTAATTTGATATGAAATTTAAAAATGTAAAAAAGACTTTTGAATCGTATCATCTTGAACTTAACATATCTCGATCTTGTGATCTTAAAGGTGTCATGTAGAATGTTAGAATTTCAAAATTGTCAATAAAGAAAAAAGATATTATTTTCAAAATAGACTAAAAAGAAAATTAAAACACTAAATAATATATTCCAAGAAAATTGGAACATCAAGATAGATTTTTATTTATGCTTGATGTTTCATGCAAATTTTTATTTTGGAAAAGCCTCGCTTATTCATAAGGCTTCTTATCATAGTTGTGGCGGTTGACATTTATAATAGTTGTGATCATCGCTGAATGTAATTAGTGTGATAATAACTGATGATTAGTGTAATAATTAAAGATAATGACGGTAGTTAGTAATATATAATTGGTGTGCATGGTGACCATAAATTCCAAGGATCTTACCATGTTATATTAAAAATGTCATAATGTCATTATTTTAGCAAATATAATGTATTCTAATATAATTGTGATTATTTTACTATCCTAATATAATTATTACTATATTTATGACTCCACTACACGGTTAAAAGTAAAAAAAAAAAGACCCCACAACCCTATTTCTTCTCTCTATGTTTTTACCCCCAAAACTCTCGACTCTCTCTCTTCTGTTTCCACCATTGTTATCTCCTACAAAATTTCTTATAAATAAATCCACTTTTAAAGCAATTTCACGAGTCATTCGGTATATTCTTGAAAGATTTTAGCCCGATTATATAGGTAAATACAATCTCATCAAGTATCTTTTGAGATATCATTTTTTTTCCTGAATATAATCTTTTGAAAGATTTATCCTGATTATACAGGTAAATACATAAAGTATTTGTGTTTTTAGCTACATTATATATCTTGGGTTAGTGATGAAGAAAATGGTATTTTACTAGATCCATTATGTATCCCAAATTAGTAGTATCCAAATGAAGAATTATATTAGCTCCATTATATAGTTGTTTAATATATGTGTTATGTTTATATATTCTTTTCCAGATTGTATTATTGTTTTGTGTATTAGTATGTTCTTAGATTGTATTATTTTTGTCTTTTTTCAGATTGTACTATTATTTTGTGTATTAGTATGTTGTTAGACTGTATTCTTTTTGTCTTTTTCCAGATTGTATTCTTGTTTTGTGTATTAGTATGTTCTTAAATTTTTTTTTTTTTTGTGTCTATTAGTATGTCTCATATTATATTGTTTTTCAAAATGCATTTATGTATCCATGAATAATACATTTTGTATTCATTATTTCAACATATGCAGTCAAATGATTTTATGTTACAAATCCACCTAAAAAAGCTCCACACGTTCAATGTAGTTTTAACAATCAGTTTAAAAATCTAAAAATAAACAGTCAAACACAAGTTCATTTCGTCCTAAAAATTTCGTATTCATACTAATTTTGTATTAAAATTAAACTAAGATACAAAATGTCAAATACATACACAAATCCAATTACTTTCATCCAAAAAAATAATAATCGAAACTTAAACAATACTTGACAATTTTTTTTATTTTCATTGGTAATCTTGAACTTTAAAGGAAATCGATGGAATTAAGTTTGAAATATCGATCGATTAATTCAATAGTTTCTTATCCAAATAAAATTGACGCAAATTAACGAAAAACTCCACTTCAATTTCACTAGATTTATTCAAAAATGGATATTGAAATTTTTTAGAACAATGGTGAAAGGGGTTTGAATGAAGAAGAGAGAGATGACACGTAGTAGGACTCCAATAGTAATTGATTAGATATTTAAGCATTTTTACATTTTAAAAAATATATTCTCCCATTATTTTCTCCATTATGTTGTTAAAAATTTGTATTCTTTCAAATTAAATAAATACAAAAGTCAGCCTTATAACAAACCAAAATATTGACATTTTAAATAAACATTGAAAGTGTTGACAAGGGGTCCTATTAGATGCTAAAATATTGCTGTTTTGAAAATTTTCCCTTTTTTTTAATGATAAATTATCAAAAGAATCTATTAGTTTGGGTTGAAATAGGAATTGGGTTGGGTCCTGACCCACCCAAATTTACTTTGGACTCAAAGGGGTTGAGCTCAAATGGGCTTAAAAATGGGTTGAGT